GGCCTCATAAATAGGAGACAAGCACTCTAACATTGTGGTATATCCTCAGCCCCTTGCCTTCAATTATTAAATAATATTTTATTTTGTTATTTAAGTAAAATATAAATTTGCCTAAGCTTGATACCAGATTAGAGCATTGAAGGATGGATAGCACACTCAGAATAATTCCAGGAGAGGTTACAAGGCAGAGTGATTTCTAATGTTAAGGCAGAGAAAAAAGCCATTGAATTAAGGCCATGGAGACTGAAAGTTTTCTCTGAAACATTTTTTTTTTTTGGTCTTTTTGAGACAGGGTCTCTCTATAGCCCCAGATGGCCTGGAACTTGCTATGTAGATTAGGCTGGCCTTGAACTCACAGAGATCTGCCTGTCTCTGCCTCCTGAGTGCTGAGATTAAAGGTATGCACCAGCATGTCTGAAGCATTCTTTTAAAAATAGCTTGGGAGGGGCCAGGCTTAGTGGCGCACACCTTTAATCCCAGTGCCCAGGAGGCAGAGGCAGGTGGATCTCTGTGGGTTCAAGGCCAGCCTGGTCTACATAATGAGATCCAGGACAGCTGGGGCTATAGGGAGACCTTGTCTCAAAAAGACCAAAAAAATGAAAATTAAAAAAATAGCTTGGGAGATAGCTCAGCTGGTAAAGGGCTTGCTGCCAAGCCTTACAACCTGAGTCAGATCCACAGAATCCACATGGTGGAATTTTGAGAACCAACAGCTGAATGTTCTCTAACCTTCAAACTCACCCTCACATATTTTGTGTGTGTGTGTAAGTGCATATGCACATGTGGAGGTCAGATCAATAGATAGGGGTTGGTTCTCTCCATGGGTTCTGGGGATCAAACTCAGGTTGCTTTGCACAGCAAGCACTTTTTTACTCACTGGGCCATCTCACTGTCATGCAACTTTAAAAAAATATATGTGTGTGTGTATGTGTGTGTCTCAAAAAAATAAAGTCAAAAGACTATACATCTCAATACATACACATATATAATTTTTTTCTCCTGAGACCCCACATTAATTGGGGAATCTTTATTTTTATCACATATGTACAAGTACACATTTAAAGCACTCATAATTATGAGCTGCGTAAGGCAAATGTGTACAGCATTTTCCCAATCCTGCAGCACTGGAATGGTGTTGATTAAGAGACACCACTTCCAGGAAGCAGGAGAAATCCACCAAACATGGAAAGTAGACAGTCAGTTATTACTATATAACAATCAGGGTCCACAGGTCCTAGAAGGGTAACGAAATTTAGAGGTCTTCAGAGGAGTACAGGAAGAGCCAAATGACACATTTTTGCAGTCCAGGCTACTTGGGAGACTAAGACAGAAGGACCACCTGAACCCAGGAGTTCCAGGCCAGAGTAACGTAGTGAGATTTAAGAAAGGAAGTGGAGAGATAGATGGCTCAGTGGTTAAGAACACTTGCTGTTCTTCCAGAGAACCCACATGGTAGCTAATAACTGTTCGCAGCTGGTCCCAGAGGATCTGACACCCTCTTCTGGCCTCTGCTGGCATTGCACACATGTGCTACACTTACAGACATGCAGGCAAAACATGTATCAGGAATCTGAATCAGCAAAGTTTGGGACAAGCAAGGTGGTTGACTGTGGTTTGCAATCTTGAGTCTAGGCCCAGTGGTCTCCAGCTGGATGCTCTGTGTGTGTAGCAACAGCTCTGGCGTGAGGCTTTGCAACTGAGGGATGCAGAGGATTATGATTAGAGTAGGAGCTGAGAGGCTGTCCTCCCAGGGTGTTCCTACAGTATCAACAATATCTGCATCTCTAGCACAGCATCTTTACTCATCACCCTGGTTTTGAATGCAACGAAAATGGCAGACCAACTGATGTTATCAATTTTTCCTCCAGTCCTTATCTAAAGTAGAAATGAATTGTATGGCAAAAGTTAACTTCTCGTAGGTGCAGGCTGAGTCTTGCCTGGACAGCAATCTGCAAGGCTCGTTTATTCTTCAGCCTGGTTTCCAGGAAGCTCAGGTGGCATTTCAGTGCCATGGGCTAGTTTGGAGGTTCTTTCACACATGTGGTTGTGCACCCTTGAAAAATAAAACAAGACTTTGAAGAGACGGTAAATAGGAATACTCCTCCAGGTAGTCCTCAGCTGCTCCTCAATCCAGTGTCTGTGACAGTTTTACAGCTTTCCTCTCCCTGTCTCCAGGACAACAGCCCCACCCTGCAGCTAGAGTACCCCTGGGCCAGGAGCTGATACTACATATTCCTAGCTGAAATACCAGGCTCACTTTCACTGCTTGAAAGTGACATAAATACCCTTCTTGACTTTATACACAGAGTATTGAAGAATTAAAAACACTGGGGAAAGGATGTGGATAAGTGTGCTGGATAGCTTTAGTGTCAACTTGACACACCTGGGTTGAGGGGGCCTCAATTGGGGAATTTCCTCCATAGGACTGGCCTCTGGCCATGTCTGTGGGCATCTTCTTGATTGTTGAGCGATGTGGGAAGGCCCAGCCTACTGTGGGTGGTGCCATCCCCTGGGCAGGTGGGCCTGTGTTGCATAAGAAGGCGGGCTGAGCAGGGGCCAGAGGAGCAAGCCAATAAGCAGAGTTCCTCCATGGCCTGTGCTCCAGCTCCTGCCTTCAGGTCCCTGCCCTGAGTTCCTACTTTGGGCTCTCTGATGAACTGGGACCTGGGAGATGTAAGCCTAATAAAACCTTTCCTCTCCAAGTTGGTATTGGTCAGAGTATTTTATCACAGCAATGGAGAAACAAACTAGGACAATAAGCTTTTTTTTTGCCGGGGGTTGGGGGGGGTCTTTTTGAAACAGGGTCTCCCTGCAGCCCCAGCTGGCCTGGAACTCACAGAGATCCACCTGCCTCTGCTTTCTAAGTGCTGGAACTATAGGCGTGCGCCACCACGCCCAGCTTGGATAAGCTTTTAAAACTGGAAATTAAGCTGGGTGTGGTGGCATACTTCTTTTAATTATTTTATTATTTTATTATGTGTATTCATGTATTGCCTTCATGTACCTGTGTCGTACAATGCCTGTGGAGGTCAGAAGAGGCTGTTGGATCCTCTGGGACTGGAGTTATGGACAATTGTTAGCTGCCATGTGGGTGCTGGGATTCGAACCCGGGTCTTCTGCAAGAACAACCAGTATTCTTAACCACTGAGCCATCTCTCCCGCCCCAGTGGCATACTTCTTTAATCCTAGCACTTAGGAGGCAGAGGCAGGCCGAACTTTGTGAGCTCAAGGCCAGCCTGGTCTATATAGCATAAAGCGCATTCCATGCTAGTCAGGGGTATACACAGTAAGACCCTGTCTCAAAACAAACAAAAAGACTGGAAATTGCTACACTTTATTTTTTACTTTCTAGATTTGCAGTGCCTGGCAGTCTCTGTTCATAGGTTTTCATGGATAAATGAAGACGTTTCTCTAGTCATCTACTGCTGTTGGAGAGGTTCAACCTCTTTACAATTTTTTTTTAATTATTTTTATTTTATGTGTATGTGTGTATTGCCTGCATGTAGGTAAGTGCACGCATGTCATGCAGTGCCCTCGGAGGACAGAAGAGGCTGTTGGATTCCCTGGAACTGGAGTTATGGACAGTTGTTAGCTGCCATGTGGGTACTGGGATTTGAACCTGGGTCTTCTGTAAGAACAGCCAGTGTTCTTAACCGCTGGGCCATCTCTCCAGCCCCATCTCTTTACAAATTTTATAGTAATTATGATATATATATGTACATACATATATTAAACAATAAAATGTGAAGAAAATTTATATTAGCTATTTTCAGAAGTCCCAACCTCTTAATCCTAACAACTAATTACATGAAAAGAAACTCTTTCTTTCTTTCTTTTTCTTTTCTTTTCTTTTCTTTCTTTCTTTTTCTTTCCTTCTTTTTTTAAAATTTTTAATTGAATTTTCGTGTATTTCATATTTTATACCCCCTTCCCCCTTGGCACCCTCCCATAGCCCCCCCCCCCACTGGAGTTCATACATTCTGTCATTTGTGTTAAGGCCTATCCCCTGATTGTGCCCCTTGATGTCCCTTAGTGCAAGTTCATCCATTGGGGTTTGGTCAGCCTATCTAGAGTCTCCCCAAAAAGATCAGCTCTTCCTCACCCAGCAGTAATCAGCTGTCAATAATTCTTTGACTAAGATTGGGGCTTACTGTTAATGTCCACAGTTCTGTACTGGGTTTTTGACTGCCTAAGTTTTTTTAAACTTAATATTTTATTTATTTATTTATTTATTTATTTATTTATTTAATGTGTATGTATGGCCTACATGTAGGTAAGTGCACCTGTGTCATGCAATGCCCGTGGAGGTCAGAAGAGGCCATCAGATCCCCCAGGACTGGATCCCCCTCAGACTGGATCCCCTGGGACTGGAGTTACAGACAGTTGTTAGCTGCCATGCAGGTGCTGGGATTCAAACCCGGGTCTTCTGCAAGAACAGTGTTCTTGACTGCTGAGCCATCTCTCCAGCCCCTTGTCTGCCTAAGTTTGCATGATCTTGTGCATGCTAACACCATTGCTGTAGTTTTGTATGAGAAGGGTCCCATGTAGCTGTAGGACCATTTCCATATGGTCATGCACTGCCTCCCTGGCTCTTACAATCTTTCTGCCCCCTCTTCCACAATGGTCCCTGAGCCTTGGATGAGCGGACCTCAATATAGGAGTCCTGTCCAAACACGACACGCTGCAGACTCTTTATTTTCAACACTTTGGCCCTTGTGTTCCTGGCCCTCTGTTGCATGAGGGAGCTTCATTGATGAGAATTCAAAGATGAATTAGTGTTCTTTTCATCTCCTGTTCTATGTTCCATCAGTCTTAGGTTTAGAGGTTGCATCCGGATGTGCCACTTCTGCTTGGGCAATTCACAGAGAATCTCTGTGTTTGACCAGTGGTGTAACTCTGTAATAATCTCTGTTAAAAAAGAAGCTGCTTTGATGGGTGGTGACTAGGATACTTGTCTATAAATTTAAGGATCCATATTTTGCACATAGTAAGAAATTACATTTTTCTGGGAATGTGAGAGCCTTGGGGTTTTCTATGACCTCTCCAGCTATGTGTAATTGGCTAGGTTTACCAATTACACACATAGGCACCACATATGAATTTCCTCCCATTGAGTGAGCTTTAAGTCCAATTAGGTAGTTGTTGATTACCCCCAAGATAAAAGTGCCACTACTGCACCAATGTCCTTTGCTGTGCTGGTCATTGATGTGATTTTTAGGCCTTAAAGCTAGGGCTGGACCCTGTCTCAAAAAGACAAAGTAGTATTAATAATAATAATTAATAAATAAAATGTTTTAAATAAGTAAATGAGCCTCCTGACAATCATTTGAGAATGTTACAGTCATTGCTTCCATTTTCCCAGCCAGGATCCTAGGATACATTGCTTTCCCGAGGTCCCATGGTCACATGGCTGCCTAGTCATGGCTCTAGGACTCAGGTTTGGTTTTGTGCAGGTAGGGAACTTTCCTTTTTGTTCAACCCTGGACACCATTGCCTGTCAGGTGGTAAGTGTTTTAGAGTACTTTGGGTATCTGTCCAGAGAATTATATTTTTGTGTGAATATTCTCATTATAGCTTAGGGTAAAAATTGGGTTGTTTTACTGTTTTTGAGACTGAATCTACCTCTGTAGCCCTGACCGGCCTTGAACTCATGGTAATCCTTCTGAATCTGCCTCCCAAGTGCCAAGATTTCAGCTGTACACCACCATGCTAGCAAAAAACTGTTGTCTACTTCCCAGTGTGCTTTGAGACATAATTTGGGTAAATTCATGTTTTAATTGATAAAAATATATTGTTTTTAGGAACATGAGAGAATTTCAAGAATCCATGAAGAGTTTAAGAAAAAAAAGAATGTGAGTAAAACAGTTTTCTTCAGAGTATTCTTCTTCAGGTACACTGGGAATAACTGACAGACCAGGTCTGGTTTTTTTTTTAAGCTAAATTACAGGAGTCCTCCCTTACCCTCTTTTTTTTTCTGTGTTACCCACAGTCCAAAAGCACTAAATGGAAAATCCCAGAAATAGTTCGTAAGTTTAAATTGTGCACCAGTATGCGTAACATGATGCAAGCATTTGTCACCCTAGATGTGAATCTTCCCTTCATTCAGCACAGCCACCCTGTATGTGCCGCCTGCAACTCTCACCAGCATGCAGGAATCAGCCTCGCTCTCACAGCAGCCCCTGCTGGACTCCAAAAAGATAACCTGCATTACGTTAAAGTAATAATGACCCTAAAGCACAAGATTAATGATGCTGGCAGTTCCCTATAGTGTTGTCCATTGCCCCATTGTATTGTTATTAGTTCTACTATAGCTAATTTACAAATAATTCAACTTTATCATGGATATGACAATCAACAAACATATATATGTGTGTGTGTATATATGTGTGTGTGTGTGTGTGTGTGTGTGTGTGTATATATATCTATACTGATATTTATCCATCTAGCATCTACTTGGCTCAGGACTCTGGTTTTAGGCATCAATGGGGATCTTATGGTATATCCCCCTTAGACAAAGGCAAGCCTGATATATTTCCATTTATTTATTTTATTATTTTTTTTTGGTCTTTTTGAGACAGGATCTCCCTGTAGCCCCAGCTGGCCTGGAACTCACTATGTAGACCAGGTTGGCCTCATACTCACAGAGATCCACTGGCCTCTGCCTTCCAAGTGCTGGGATTAAAGGCGTGCAACCACCACACCTAGCTTCAAAGATTTATTTTTTAATTGCGTGTGTGTGTGTGTGTGTGTGTGTGTGTGTGTCTGCATGTGTCTGTGTGTGGATATGTACACAGGAATGTAGGTGCTTGAAGAGGTGTCAGGTCCCTCTAGAGCTGCAGTTATAGGCAATTGTGAGCTCCTTGACACATGTGCTAGGTACTGAACTCTGTTCCTCCAGAAGAAGAATATGCACTAGTAACCACTGAGCCATCTCTCAGGCTCATATATATTATTTTTATTTGTTTATTATTTATTTAATTTATTTTTCATAGTCTCATGTATCCCAGATTGACCTTAAACTTGTGATTCTCTCATCTCTACCTCCTGAGTGCTGAGATTACTAGCATGCACACACCATCATGCCCAGCTTGTGTGGTCCTTGGCATCAAACCCAGGACTTTGAACATGCTAGGCAAGCATTCTGCCAACTGAGCTACCTGCATCTCAACCCCTTTTTATAATCTTTTTTTTAAAAAAAATAAATAAATAAAAGCAGTCTCAGCCAGGTGTGGTGGCGCACGCCTTTAGTCCCAGCACTCCAGAGGCAGAGGCAGGTGAGTTTAAGGCCAGCCTGGTCTACATAGTAAGTTCAGGTCGGGTGGGACTACAGGGAGACTCTGTCTCAAAAAGACAAAAAAAAAAAAAAAAAAAGTCTCACAGGGCTGGAGAGATGGCTCAGTGGTTAAGAACACTGGCTGTTCTTGCAGAAGATCTAGGTTTGAATCCCAGCACCCACATGACAGCTAACAACTGTCCACAACTCCAGTTCCAGGGGATCTGACAGCCTTTTCTGTCCTCTGTGGGCATTGCATGCCAGGGGTGCACTTACATGCAGGCATGACACTCATACATGTAAAATAAAAATAATAAATATATTTTTAAAAAGCCAAAAAACAAGATAGTCTCACTTTGCCACCCTGGCTGTCCTTGAACTCAGAGAGATCCACTTGACTCCACCTCCCACTAGGATTAAAGGCATATGCCATCATGCCTGGCCCCTTTTTATATTTCTTAAAATGGTACTTAGGAAAATGGGTGGCTGCTGAGCGTCTTTTTTTTTTTTGACCCCTGTCCTCAATGCAGTCCACTTCACTCTTTCATAGCCAAGGGCTGGCATGGATCTCTGTCCACATTTCCTTCCAAAGAATTATTTATACATTTTTCTAACCCTACATTTCACTGAATTTCACAAGTCAGGAGATACTGCATGGAGAGACACGTATTGATATTTCCTATACTTTTTATGTATTTTTGACTATAAAAGATACTGCTACTCTTTGTACATACCTCTAGATTGTGCTTGAACCTAAAACTACTCTAGACAGGAGGCTACCTTGTTTCTAAAGTAGGAAGCTTAACTGCTATTCTAATTGTGCAGGTTTCTACTGTCTAGAGCTGTTTTCTGCGTGATAATGTGTGTTCATCAATGAGGAGAGCAAGTGCTGAATAATGGCTTTGTTTCTTTCATAGGATCCTTCATTTTTGGAGAAAAAAGAGCGCTGTGATTACCTCAAGAATAAGCTTTCTCACATAAAGCAAAGAATTCAAGAATATGATAAAGTAATGAATTGGGATATACAAGGTTATTCTTAAGTTTTATTTGAAGCTAGTTTTATAGCCAATTTGACTATTTATTCATTGTCTTTTTTATGTTGGTCTCTGAGGCAGACAAGCAGGTGTTTCCTGTGGCAGCATTCAAGGTTAAAGGGTGTGATTTCACTCAAACATTTCAGAACGCTTTCAGGCCTACTAAGGGCCTTTCCTGAGAACGGCAGAGCCGTGTATTCACCTGTGTGTGGTTTCATCTTCATCTCAGTAAAATGCACTGCCATTTTAGACGTGCTGCCCTTGGGGAGCGGGGGTGATGAGCAGGCAACTGTGAGTTCTGACATATTTACTCAGGCTGGTTCCTAGGACTTTTCTAAGACAAGTTTTTCTTCCTAAGACAAATTCCTAGAAGATTCTTCCTAAGGAATTTCTTGAAAAAGACTCAAATCCAAGATCAACACAGTCAAACATTATGGTCTTGAGCAAGTGCCTGTTTTTCCTTCTGTAAAATTGAAACTTTAAAAAAAAGTACCTACCTCAGAGACGGTTATGAGGACTGAATGTGTTCCTATTTGTCAAGCATTCAGAACAGAGCCTGGCTCTTTGTAAGCACTACATTACTGCTATGAACAGTAGATATGCTGGTGAGATGGAGGAGGTACATGGCACAGAATGAGCTTAAGGAAAGGTCTTAGCAAGCCTCTGCAACCACCTGGAGGCTGTGGGTTCCATCATTTTCTTTTTGTGCTGTTCACTTTGACCATGTGTATGCTTAAGCAGAGACTTCCCTACTGTTGTGTAGCCTGTGAGGGACCCTCAGCCCTCCTGTCTTTTATAAGAATCACTATACACATATCTCCATGTCCCTCAGCCCAGCCTGTCCTTTGCACGTGTGAGAAAGCTACCTCTCCCTTTGATTCACTGGGATGCTCCATCTCACTAAGGATCATTTTGACAGCTGGGCGTGGTGGTGCATGCTTTTAGTCTCAGCGTTCTGGAGTAAAGTTCAAGGCCAGCCTGGTCTGCATAGCGAGTTCTAGGTCAGCTGGGGATACAGGGAGACCCTATCTCAAAAAGACCAAAAAAAAAGAACCTTGAAGAACCTTGGCTATTGTTTTTTATTCATGAAAAATGTTTTTTTCTAGTATGAACAAAAATATCTAAGAAAAATTTTTTTTAAGGAAATCATTGGTGGGTTGGAAATCATGGGTTAGGGATGTGGTCCAGAGGTTAAGGATTTACCTGGCATAAATGAGAATTTGATCCCCAAAAGAAAAGAAAAAAGAAAAGAAAAGGGTTGGCAATGTAGCTCAGTTGGTAGGGTGCCGGCCCAGCATTTTGGAAGCCCTACATTCAGTCCCTGGCACTACATAACCTAGTGTGGTGGGGGATTCCTATAGTCTAGCAAAAACTCATCACTTTTGATTGCTGTTCAGCAGAGTCTATCCAGTAATTTCCTTAATATGGAATTACCATTTCTGCCCAGTATAGTTTCGTTCAAACAGTTAATATTCAAAAGGGTTTTACAAAGTGGTGCCAAAGTACAGCATGGAGCAGGCAGAGGCTTAGAGATGTGTTTTATTTTGTGGGTCCCCTACTGCTTATGGCTACTGTGAATTAAGGGGTTACCTTAGGGAAGTGTGAGGCCTGGATGGAGCCCTAGTGGGAGCAGTCCCACTTTCATGGGACCATTTCACTTTAAGAGCACCAATAATTTCACACATGTAATCTGAGCACTTCAGAGGGTGAGGGTGGGGTAGGAGGATTACAAATTCAAGGCCAGTCTGAGTTAACAGTGAGACTCTCAAAACAAAACAAAAAAGTAGAGATGGGAAAGAAGCACCAGTGCTTTAAAAAAAAAAAACAAAAAACGTAAATATAGTGGCACATGCACGTTTTCCCCATGCTCAGGAGGATTTCAAGTTCTGAGCCTGCCTGGGCCACAGAGCACCCTCACACCCTGTTGTTTTTTTGTTTTTTCTTTTTTCTTTTTTGAGTTAAAGTATTGCCATTTTGTACATTGTAAAATGTTAGGTTAGCATTAAAATTAAATGTTAGAGACATTATGAAACTTTTACTATAATTGTAAATGTTAATCTTTTAAAACCAATACTTGTAGCACAGATTTAAAGAAATTTTGTGTCAGTTCGTCCATGTATTAAAATATTAATCACTCCAGTTTTGCGTGTTCTCTTTATTGATTGGTTTCAAGCATTCCTGTGTTCAGCCTGTTCTTGAAAATACTTTCCTTTTCAGAAAAGAAACTGGAAAGTCACAGAACACCTGTAAGTCACAGTGCTTGGGTGACTCACTACTTTCCCCTCTCTTGTTTTTTGCAAGAATTCAAAGTCAAGCAGGGTGTGGTGATGCATGCTTGCAATCCCAACACTCAGGAGGCAGAGGCACCAGGAATCCCAGAAATGTGTTAAAAAATATACTGGACTAGGGGTGTAGCTCGGTGTTAGAGCACCTGCCCACTCTCTTGCTTTAATCCCCGACACTGGAAAAAATACATAGCAATACATTTATTACAGAAAATTCAAAAAATGAAGATACTGCCATACTCCTCACACAAAATTGCCCATCATGCCATCCTAGAGGTGGTCGCTGTTAGCACTGGGGAGCTCATCCTGCTGTCCCTTCTGTTTCATGTGTTCATTTATGAAACAGAAAGATACGAGTATGAGTGTATTGCCTGCATATATGTAAGTGCACCTGTGTTATGCAAAGCCCGCAGAAGTCAGAAGAGGGTGTTGGATCCCCTGGAACTGGAGTTAAAGACCATAGTTAGCCACCATGTGGGTGCTGGGAATTGAACCTGAGTCCTCTTCTAGAGCAGCCAGTGCTCTTAACCACTGAGCCATCTCTCTAACCCAAGATTTATTATTATTATTATTATTATTATTTTAAGATTTATTACTTTTAGCCTAGACAAAAAAAAAAAAAAGATTTTTAATAATTACATGTATGTGTGTGGGTATGTGCATGTTAATGCAGGTGCCCTTGGAGACCAGCAGTGTGGGATCGCTCTAGAGCTAGAGTTACAGGTAGTTATGAGCTGCCCACCATGGGTGCTTGGAACTGAACTTGGGTCCTCTGCAAGAGTAGTATGAGCTTTTAACTCCTAAGCCATCTCTCCAGCTCATGTTTTTTATTTTGGGGGGGTAAGGAGGTTTTTTTCAAGGGCCAGGGTCTCCAGATAGCCCCAAACTTGCAGAGATCTGCCTGCCTCTGTCTCCTGAGTGCTAGGATTAAAGGCATGTACCACCACACCCAGCCCCTGTTATGTTTTAATTAAGAATAAAATTAATGGGGGCTGGAGAGATGGCTCAGCGATTAAGAGCACTGAGTGCTCTCGCAGAGGACCCGTGTTCGATTCCTAGCACCTACATGGCAGCTATGAATCATCCTTAACTCCAGTTCCTAGGGGAATCTGAAGCCCTCTTCTGACCTGCATAGCATTGCATGACATGGGTACACTCATATATGCAGGCAATACAGTCATACACATAAAATGCAAATAAATAAAAAAATTTTTTTTTTTTTAGTCTTTTTGAGACAGGGTCTCCCTGTAGCCTGAGCTGTCCCTAGAACTATGTAGACCAGGCTAGCCTCAAACTCATAAAGACCTGCCTGCCTCTGCCTCCCAAGTGCTGGGATTAAAGGCCTGCAAAACCATGCCCAGCCTAGATGTAACTTTTGTGTGGCACTCATTCAATTTCTTTATTTGATGGAAATGTTAGCCGGAACTCACTATGTAGACCAGGCTGGCCTTGAACTCACAGAGATCCGCCTGCCTCTGCCTCCCAAGTGCTGGGACTACAGGCGTGCGCAACCATGCACGGCATAAAAATATTTTTTAAAAAAATTAATGGCACGGTGGTACCTACCTATGATCCCAACACTCAGGTAGTAGAAGCAGGAGAATCGGGAGCTGAAGATCAGCCTTGACTATACAGCAAATTCAAGGCTAACCAGACTACATGAGAACACTGGCTGCTCTTACAGAGGACCCAAGTTCAGATCCCAGCACCCACATGGTGGCCAATAACCATTCATAACTTCAGTTCCAGGTGATCTGATGCCCTCTTCTGTCCTCCTCGGGCATTGCATGACACAGGTGCACTTGCATGCAGGCAATACACCCATACACTTAAAAAATAATAAAATAGTTTTAAAAAACAAACACAACAAAACAAACGAAAAATAGGCTTGTGCTATTTTGCTTTCATTATTGGCTAAAGCTTGGTCAGAGAATTTTTCTGAAATTAGAATTTTAAGCATAAATTGTTTACCATTTGTATTAGTTACTTTTTGTTGCCATGGGAAAACCCTATGACTAAGGTAACTTACAGAAGGAAGAGTTTATTTGGCTTATGGTTCTAAAGGGATAAGAGTCCATCATGGCAGGGGAGGTGTGGCAGGAAGCAGCTGGAGCAGAAAGCTGGGCACTCACATCTTCAGGCACAGGAACAAAGAGCAAAAGTGGGACACCTCCAGCAAGGCCATAGCTCCTGAAGGTTCCATGACCCTCCCCAAACAGTACCACCAACTGACCAAGCATTCAAATTCTTAGAGCCTATGGAGGAGAATTATTCAAACCACCACACCATTTATTTCAATGTAATTCATTGAATTAATGTAATGAATGTAATTTCATTGTATTATCATTGTCTTAAGGTGTTTGCTGTTTGTATTCTAAGATAGAAAGAGCAAGGAATGAGAATTAGGTCTAAGCTGTGTGTCCTCAGGTAAGTCCACCTGACGATGAGCAAGAGATCAGGTGACAGAAAGTACCTGCAGTCATGTTGTAAACCATGAAGTCGATGGACATCCTGACAGTTATGTGGTTACTTGTAGGAAATTTAATATATTATTAAGAAAGGTTGGCATGGCTACATTACATAATCAGGGCTTCTTTGAAGGGCTATGTGTATTGGTACAGCCCACTAGTTTCACAGTGGCATCCGCATATTCATATTCAAGTGAGTCACAACGACTGAAGCCACAACATCCTAGTCGATGTGAAAGAAGGAAAGAGGAGACTGGAAAACAGGAGGTCTTTTCTGATTAACAGGATGAAGATTCTGTACCTTTCTTTATAAAGAGGGAAAGTGGGGCCCGAGGAGATGGCTTAGCCAGTAAGGCACTTGCCTCACAAGCATGAGGATCTGGGTTTGAGCCCCAGAACCTACATAAAAAGCCAGGTGTGGTGGTGTGCACTTGTAATCCCAGCAATGACAAGATGGACAGGGACAGGCAGATCCCTGGAGCTCCTGGCCAGCTTGCTTAGCCTACCTGACAAAAGTTCTAGGCCAATGAGAGACCTTGTCTCAAGCAAAAGGTGGAAGGTGCCTGAAGGACAGCCCTTTGAACTCCACATGCAAACATACACATGTACATGTGTGTGCCCATGTACACATAAATACACATAAAGAAAAGAGGGAATAGGGGCAGGAGAGAGGGGGAGGGCAGTAGGGGAAGAAGGATGAGTAAGATCGATGTAAAATGAAATATTTGTATGAAAATGTCATAATGAAATCCATTACTTTGTATACTAACTTAAAAAATAAGTAAGTTTGTTCCAGGCATGGTGGTGCACGCCTTTAATTCCAGCACTTGGGAGGCAGGGGCAGGTAGATCTCTGTGAGTTCAAAGCTAGCTCAGTCTACATAGCAAGTTCCAGGCCAGCTGGGGCTCCAGGGAGACCCAGTCTCAAAAACACAAAAATAAGTAAATAAGCTTATTTTATACCTTAGGCTTCCTGTTTTTCTACCCATGAAGATGCTTGAAACAGGCTCTAATATACCATGATCAAAATGTAAATATAAGTGGTATTTACATGTATGTGTGTGTGTGTGTGTGTCTTTTTCTGCTACTCAAAGAAGTACATTTAAAAGAAAAAAGATTCCCAGATATTAGGAGCTTTTTGGGCACTCCACCTCCAGGTATAAACTTAAAGACTTAATTCCTTGGCCCTGTAAATGCTTTGGAGAAGCTAAAGTTATAACAAAGTGTTAGACTCAAA